TTCCTGGGAGATTGTCCGGAGAACTTTGGATTTTTGGATTTTTTGGATTGGAAAAGCACATTCAAGAGGACAAATATTTGCAAAAATATTGCGAAGTTAAAAAAGCACCAAAAAGTGCAAAAAGCACAAAAAAGTGCAAAAAGTACAAAAAAAGTGCAAAAGTGCAAACAAGTGCAAAAAGTGCAAAAAAGCACGAAAAAGCATGAAGAAGCACAAAAAACATTTAAAAAACACAAAACCCAAAAATCAAAAAACCCAAAAGTCCAAAAGTCCAAAAATCCAAAAACCCAAAGTTTGCTGGGAGATTGTCCGGTGAACTTTGGATTTTTGGATTTTTGGCTTTTTGGACTTCTGTTCCATTTCGCGGTTGGTCCATTGGGACAGTTCACTAGCCCTGTATTGGACCCAAGCCCTATTACCGTCTTGAATGCTTCTGCTCAACCTCTTGTTGGCTTTTCGAGTAGGATGTTTTCAAAACCTTATTGGCTTCTTGAACAGGCTACTTAGATTTTTTTGATACAGTTTTCAATCGAGTAGTTAAGACGTTAATGCGATTCGAGCAGGCTTTGCTGCAATAATCACAGGGGGCAATGCAATGTTAAGAGCTTGAATTAAAAGATCAGAAGAACTAAATCGTTATCGCAAAGAAATGGTGTTCATGAGATATAAACTTTTTCTTAAACAGCAGGTACTGTGATCCCAGAATGGTTCTTATTGAAAAAAAGGATATTTCAGCTTCTTTCAAATGCAACAGTCGATATTTGCACATATAGGCCTTCTCTGTTAAAGCCTTCTTGGCAAAGGCCCGTGCGTAACCCATGTACGTGCTTTTCTCAGTGATTTGAATAGGCAAGACTTTACCTGGTCCTCATATACAGAAACATTATATTCACAATCTTGTTGAATATGCTATTTAGTTGTGCGATGAATGTAGTGTTCACGTTCGAGTAGGTAGGACGCATTTGAAATTCTGATAAGGGTATATACATTTGAATGGTCGCCCTCCTTTCATTCAAAAAAAACGAGAACCAATATGAGCCAACCTCGAATGTGAAAAATCATAAAAATCATCAAAAATTCAAAAATCCAAAAATCCAAAGTTTCCTGGGAGATTGTCCGGAGAACTTTGGATTTTTGGATTTTTGGATTTCTATGCATAAGACAAGCATAGAAAAAAAGCACAGTATATGAAACAATGCAAAAAAAGCCAAAAAAAGTGCAAAAGTGCGAAAAGCCAAAAAAGTGTAAAAATCCAAAAAAGTGCAAAAGTGCAAAAAAAACAAAACAAGTGCAAAAGTGCAAAAGTGCAAAAAATACCAGAAAAGTGCAACAAGGCACGAAATGCACAAAAAAGCACAAGAAATAAGGCAAAACGCGCAAGAAAACACAAAGCACGACAAAAACAACTAGTTTTTCCTGTCCTTTTCATTTCGCGGTTGGTCCATTGGGGGGGGGGTGAGCATATGTATATACGTATATATGTATATATGTATATATGTATATATGTATATATGCATATATGCATATATGTACATATATATATACATACATGTTTGTGTGTGTACACACGTGGCATCGCTCGGCTCTTGCACATTGGACTGCTTTGTTGCTGGCCAATCCTCCTTCGATGCAACAGGTACCCAGTGGCCCAGTGACATGTTCGAGACGACCATGCCCTGAATCCCAGACACAAGCACACGGAACCCCTTGCCCAAGTTATTCACACTGCGCATCTGCCAGCCATCGAACGTGATGCGATTGCAGATTTGTTTCGTGTGTGGCTTCAGGACTTCAGGTCCAGCTGCTTGCAAGAAGGCGGCTCTTGAATCAATGCTTTGTAGTTGGGATGGAGCACGTCAGTCACTTCCCGGACAGGTCGAGCTGCAGGTACATTCCTAATGAAGCTCATCGTGGATGAGGCTTGGAGAGGTTCCAGCTAGGGCTTCAAGCATTGAACGATTGGAAGCAACTACAGAATGCCAGTCTCATTCCTGAGCAACCATGCACCAGGCAAGTCGTCACATGCTGCCGGCTGTACACGCAAGCCATGAGGAAACTTTCAGACCGAACCTCCAGGCAAGTGCAGCACCCTACAGTGACAAGCAGATATGTAGAATTTAGAGCCGTCGCCAAGCCCAAACGAGAGGCTTCTGCTGCTTGACGAAGCAACGGGTCGATGAATCGTGCTTCCTCCCATGAAAGGGGCTGCAATCTAAGCAGTAGCTTGCACGTAGGTTTCAGCCGCGGACACGACCCAAGATCAACGCATCCTAACAAGCCGTGAGTGATTCTTCAAAGGTCCAAACTGCGCGACTCACCCCGCGCTCAACCTCAAGAAACCACCCTGCATCTATTGTACTCTTCGTCACTCAACACTCTCACTTGCTCTGATTACCCCAGTACCCGAGTTTTTGGCTCCCGGTGCCTGGTCCCAGAGCCTGTGGGTGCCGCCTCTCCGGCGCCCCAACCCCACCAATCAAAGCCATCAGCAGACTGGAAGATAGATCCGGCCGGAAACCTGGGGGGGGGGGGGTGGGGGCCCACATGTCCAACACCTCTCGTCTTCACTTCTTCGGCACTCAACACCAAAAGA